GCCTTTTGTGTTAGTGCGGCCTTTCCGGGTCGTCGTTCAGTCCAATCTGTGTTTGCCTGACGCCGTCTCTGCCTGTCGCATTTTCCTGAAGTTCGGATCGCAGCGAACTTCACGTTTCGGTGGGTGCGTTGGTTCGGCTTCGGACAGGCACTTTTAGTACGGATCTCGGCGAACTTCGCGTCCTGAACTGTCCGGGTTCCTATTGCTAAACGGACGACACTGCCCCGTCCAACGAGGGCTTTGTGCGTCACCACCCGTCCATTCCCGATCGGGTGGACATCCGTGTTCCGAAAAAAACCGACGTGGTTATCGCCCGGCTGCATGAACCGTGTGCCCTTGTAAAGAATGATCTCGTTGCAGGTAAGAGGTCATTGCTGGTCTTCGCGTTAGAAGTTCGCCGGGATCCGAACTTCGAGGTCCTCGGATAGCGTCATGTGACCGACCTGTTGAGGGCAAGGTGTGCCTCCTCTGTTTTTCGCCTGCGTTGTGCTTTAACTGCGATTTGACGCTCGCTGGTGTTTTATTTGTTTTTCGTTGTCGTCCGCAGACAATATGTCTTCGTCCAGGGGCGAAGGGGAGCCTGCAGCGACGTCCGGGATGGGATCTGGGAAAGATTCTACAAAACGGTCGTCCACGACCTCGAGGACGTGGTCCGACCACGCTAGGTCGAAATTTTTCGTCGACTGGTGTTGTGCTGATGCTACGAACCTAGTCCAACAGCCGTGTGGTCCTGTGATCTTCGTCGAAGCCAACAAGCGCCGCAGGGTTCTGGGGTCTGTCTTGCGGTGGGAGAATGCGAAAGGCAGTCGTCGACGGTTTTACATGAAACATGTGTACGGTTCGAAGGGGAACGTCGTCGCCGGTGCCAAGGGGGCAGTTCTTGACATGTGTCTGTTCGAGGGGTTCGGAGCGGGTGCTGCGAACACCCCGTTCTACAACGACCTCCGGCAGCAGGGAGGGTTTGTTTTGGGTCGAGAGTTCTTCGACCTGTTGGAGGACAAGGGCATCGCCCTCGACGTCCCTTGCGAAGTCGGTCCCGACCAGGAACTGTCAATGCCTTTGCAGCCGTGCGGCGGTTGTGAGTCGAGCGGGGCATCGGGGGAGGGGGGTGATCTGGGTTCCGGGGAGGCTACACATGTGCAGCGGGAGGATGCCAGAGGTCAGTTTGACGACAGCGAAGATGAGGCGACACCGCGTCCGCTGTTTTCGCCGTCGAGGGAAAGAGACAGGTCCGTGCTGTCCATACCTGGGGCCCGGCAACAGACCGCAGCGGATCCCGGAGAAGAGGGAGTCCTGTGTGGGTCTGACTTGGAGCCCGTCGGGGGCAATGGCGCGGAAGGCGAGGCCGTGGGCGGGGAGGGAGCGCAGGGCACTCCCCAAAAAAGGAGGGGAGAATGTCAAGAAGAGTTGGTGGGCTCTTCGAAGAAACAGAAGACCAAGACCCCGAGGACTGCGGGAGAGAAACGGAAGGGGAGGGGGGTGGAAGAGGGCCACCCGGGTAGCAAACGTCCAGCTTCGAAACATAAACAGCCTGAGTCGGGACCTTCTTCACAACGGCCTGCCATCGACATGGACGCCGGGTACTTCCTGGAGTACAAAGACGGTGTTAGGACAAGGCGGGAGTTTGAGATCAGCCCGGCTCAGATCGTTGACATAAGGGAGTGGGAGGATCTTTACAACCAGCGGTCGCTAGATCCCGTCCTCGTGGAAACSATAAGGGAAGCAATGCDGTCTGCGTTCGAAAATAAAGAAYAGACGTACGAGTTGCYGGTCTTCAAGCTCGMACCACTGGGDCTTCAAAAACCAACTCCTGGGACCAAGGCAYAACGTCTGAAGCCRGAGGAGTGGAAGGATGAGCTGGCGGGAGAATACTACTACTACGCGGTGTGCGGGCAGCACAACGCGGCTGCAGCCAGGTCGCTGCTCGGCAGCGAGGTGGCCAAGAAGTACAATTTCGAGCGGTGGCCGGCACAGATGGTGTACTTTTCCGACGATGACTTCGAAGGGTATTTTCTTGTTAGTTTACAGGACAACAAGAAGGACCTGAAGGCGCCTCCCAGACAGTTGAAACTTTCTATGAAAGACATTCGATGGCAGTGGAAGCATGACGGCTGCCCGAGAGCTGTGATGGGGAACCCTAGGGGGAAACAAGATCAGGTCCGGGCTTGGCCTAAGTTTTGTACAACGGCGCTCCATAAGGCGCCTCAATATAGCTTGTGGCTTCTCGCGGATCAAAAGGAAGAGGAGGCCATTAAGAAGCAAATTGCTGCCCTGCATTCTTACTTACCTCTGGCCATGGCTGGGGAAAATGTCTGGAAACTGGCCGTGGAATTTTTCGAAAAATGGGAGACGGGCAGATTGCTGAGCCACGATGGGGCGAAGTGGACCGTCAAAAAGAAGAAGGTCAAAAACGTAAAGCCTGGGGTCGCCTACATCCACAACGACAAATTGGGCAGAACGGAGGTGGTGTACAACGTCTCCGTGAACCCGCCGAATAAAAAGGGTAAAAAGGAGAAAGAGGAGGGCGATTGGTTCGTGCAAGTGCCAGACCCGGACGCGCATTGTTGGAAAGCAATGGAATCACTCACGGACAATGAGAAGTGTCGCGTTCTGAAAAAGGTGCTTGCTTGCGAGGTCGTTTGGGTGCAGGCCGGCTCCCCGTCGTTGGCGAAGTTGGGAAAGCTCAGCGTGCAGGACATGGTTCAGCTGGTGAAGTGCGATCGCGTGCTGGTCCGGTTGTGGAATTACTACCAATTCAAACACGAGAAAAGGCCGGACGCGGACTGGATCCTGAGGTACCCTTTCCTGAAGTCGAGGTCTGCCGTGTTCAAGAAGTTTGAAGGTCAGGGATTGGATGACGAGTTGTGGGATAACAGCAGGAAACACGTTTCCGACTCGGTGCTGTTCAAGGACTGCCCGCCGTACATGGGTTGCGACCAGGACAACTCGATTGAGGTGACAGAGAAGTTGGCGGGCCACAAGAAATTGTCCGTCGACTGGAGAAACAAGGTTCTCTCCGTGTTGAATGGAAGCAGACTGAAGAGCCGGGAAGTCGCACTTGCCGAAGGCGTCGTTCACATTAAATGGAAAGACACGGGGACGTGACATCCATCGCGCCGTTCGCCAACGACCCTTTAGAGGCGGACATCAGGGGCGCAGAGCTGAAGGAGGCAGTGGCTGCCACAAAGAGCCACACGTTCGTCCTCGATCTGTGCGAGCCGGTTGACCT